TTTGACTTTGCTTTTTATTAAAAATGCAGCATATGCAAAAGGTAGAAGAGTGGCGTTTGATGGTTGCAATTAAAAGAAGAGGAGTTACAATGGGGAAAGTGTCACTAGTACATTCTTTTCTATTTATATCGGTGAATACATCATCAGGATTGAATAAAGACAGACCAATAAGCAACTTATTTTTACCTTCAGTCTATGTATCATTTCCTGCTCTTTTTTCTCCTGCACAAATTGCTTTATCCAGTCTGGTTCATTGGTCATTAGCTGGCTGGCTAAAGGCTTTGTTTTGCTTTTCTTGAGTTCATCTTCTGCATCTGTTCCACTAATGTTACTTGCTAACAGCCAGGCCTCCTCCAGTTTCTTTTTCTCTTCAAAATCCCGGAGCCATGAGAGAGCACCACAAATCAAACTTAATGATTTACCCTAACAGGGAAGAAGAAATGCAGATATATCTTTATGCCATAACATAAACAGGTTGTTAACATTTCAAAATAAAATTCTAGAAGATTTTAATATTTCTTCTTCTTCTTGTGCCATATCCGTTATCGGACAGGCGAGCATGTTGCTGATCCTGTTTTTATCAGCAGCCACACAAAAAAATGTGCTGCTGAGTTTTGTCCAAACCAGTCCCTTAAGATTTTAAAGCCATGATATTCTTCTTCTGCCTGGACCTCGTTTGCCTTCAATCTTTCCCTGGAGGATTAAATGGAGTATGCTGTATTTTTCTGGGTGTCGCATCACATGTCCAAAATATTCTAACTTTCGTTTTTTAATTGTTTTGATGATTTCCCTTGGCTTCCCCAAGCGGCTTATCACCTCCTCATTTCTGATCTTGTCAACCCAGCTTATACATAACAGCCGCCTGTAAATCCACATTTCAAATGCTTCTAGTCTCTTCAGGTGGCCTTCTGTCGGAGACCAAGTCTCTACTCCATAGAGCAGGATAGAAAAAATATAGCATCTGACAAGCCTGATTTTCAGTCTTAGGCTTATGTCGTGACTACATTTGTGTTATTTTTGACATTTTTTTTATAGGCTAGGGGTGTTGGTGTGTTAAAATAAAAAAGAGACTTACTGTGCCAGTTGGGCTTTCAAATATGCCAATTTTTCCAGTCTCCAAGACCTGATAAAGTTTAGTCATAAATTGCTCTTGAATGGGATATGGTGTGTAAGGAAAAGGAAAGTTCACTATAGTCTTTTCTTCAGTTTCTTCTGTCATCTCTTGCCTGGAGTTGGGGGGGGGGAGAGATGTAAAAAAAAATCCTAAAACAGATGTAACTGTTAGCATAACTACAAAAGAAAGTATTAAACAAACACACAGAGAATCAAACTGACTCTGCAATTCTCAGTAAATCTGATTGTTTTGATCCTTGCAAGGACTTAGTCTTCCAAACCAGTAGAGGACCTCTTTTATGCGAATTTTACGTAAATCTGCTAAATTCTAAGGGTTTTTTATTGTTTTTCACTTTGATTATTCATTTTTCTTGTTCTTTATATATTAGTCTCATTGTTTAAACAAGTACTTTCCATGTTCTCATCAACTAATGAACTATTAATTATCAACTATAATTTAGGCCATTAGACAGCCTAGATTACAGCAATAAAATATATATAATTTTAATTCACTTTATTATTACATTTATACAATGCCTGACTTCCAATAAATGCCAAATTATAGCATATTTAGGAGAGTCTATAGTCCATAGAGGGACCGGTCGGGCACGACTGAATGGGTGACGATGACGACGATAGTTCAAATTGGCTGGGAATTTTGTACCTTGGGAAAGGACAAGCTGAAAAAAGTTTTCTAGTTCTTTTGCAATTTCCAGGTGAAATTTATGGGATAAATTGAGTTTTACTTCCAACGTGCCCACGACTGACCATAGAAAGTTCTCTCATTCCCCAGGATCTCTCCGAAATTCCCCGTTAGCGCCATCTACCTTAAGTCGCTGCTGCCCCTCTAAAAGCGAAGTGACTTCGAATTGATCGCAAAGCGTTTCTGCCGACCCAACTCTCTCATCCCGAGGTGACGTCACTGGCTTCTCCCTCGTGATGGGCAAAAAAAGTGGGGGAGCCCGCTGCACAAACAACCCCCCCGTTTTTAGAACTTTCCGCTAAAAACGCGCGGCCGAACTCTATTGGCTAGACAACCTGCCGCAGCTCAACGCGTAACCAATCAGAGGACAACAGTAAGAAGGACGCCTCCTCCAGAGCGAGCGTGTGTCTTACGCCTACTTCCGGTTGGCTTTGTGCGTCGAGTTGTGACGGGGTCCCTTGTCTGCTCGCGCTGCTGCCAAATTTGAGTCAGTCGGGCGTTTCAGTTCCATGTAGTTCGAATAGGCTTTGCGTTGAAAAAAAATTTACTCGAGGGTTCATCCTCACTGCCTGCAGGCTTATTTTTGGACAGATTTGCCTAGAGCACATAGGAGCTTGGAATATCCGCATTGATTATTGGTTAACAAGTTTTACACAATCAGAATACTTTAGTTACACAGTTCAGAAATATACATATTTCTCACATATTCTTCGTTCCCTTGGGTGGCTCCAGTTTCCCGGCCGATGCTTTTTCTCCCTGCTGGCCTGGATTGTCTCAGAAGCATCACCCACCAAAGTGTACAAGAGCCAGGTTTTCAGGAGGGCAGAGTAATTCAGTCTGAGAAGTCTTGTGGGCGCTGGCATCCCGGTCTACTGTGCACCATTTAGCTAACAGACATGCTGAATGGGGCCAAGGGAGCAGCTGTTCCACCATTTTTTTTCTGGATTGCCTCCAATGGCCAGCTTGCATGTATATGAGACAATTGGTGCGCTGCACTTCTGAAAGCAAAGGATTGGAAGGCTAATGCAATGTCCTGTAGAGGAATCCTCATATCATCTCAAAGAGCGTCCAAATTTTGCTTGAAAAATTCCACCACTGGCGCATCCACGACTCTTAAGAAACAAGCTGAATAGTTATCTCAGTTAAGAAATTACTTGTTTCCAATTTGGTTTTTTTCCTGTAAGTTTTTCATTCGCAGGTTGTTGTTGTACCTTCAGCATTACAAAAAAATAAATCCATGTAAATCCAGCTATCTGCCCTGTGACATCTCTGCATCCAGTGGAAAACTACAATCTCTTCCCTTAAATCTTCCTCTCTTTTTTTAGATTAAACATATAACACATTTCTTTAACTGCTTTTCATAAGCTTTAGCCTTCAAGGCCCTTACCATTTTGTCACTCTTCTCTACGCTTTTTCCAGTTTATGAGCATCCTGTTGGTATTGTAATTATCAGAAGTGGACACAGTATTCAAGATACAATTTAAGCAGTGCAACATAAGGCAATACTATCTCTTCCCATGATCTTGATAATATAGTATATAATAATATACCTCTGTTAATTCATCTCAAGACTGCATTGGCATACAGCAGTCTTGGCACACTGATAGTCATGTTTAATCTGTGGACTACCAGGACACCCAGATCCTTCAAGTATTACTGCTCAGCCAGGTACCACCTGTCTGCATGTGTTTTTTCCTAAGTAGAGAACCTTACATTTTTCGCCATTGAGCAACATACTGTTGGATAGGGTGCAACATTCAAATCTGTTAAGATTCTTTTGAACCTTGAACCTATCTTCTGAAATATCAGAAGATTAGAAGCTTTGTATCGTCCACAAATTTCATGAGCATCTTTCCTATTTTTCATCTGAGACATTTATGAATATAAAATAAAGAATACTTGGCTCAGGACAGAACTCTGCGGTACTCCACTGCATATCTCCCCTATGTATATGTAGAACCATTAAGAACTGTATGTTTGGAAACAATTGTTCAGTCAACTGCGAATCCATCTCATAACGGGACCATCCATCACATATTGTTCCAGTTTATCGAGAAGTTGGTCATGGTCTACTTTACTGAAGTCTAAATATACTATAGGCTATTCCCTTGATTCACTAATCTAGTTGCATTGTCAAAGAAAGCAGTAAGATTTAAGGCATCCGTGCTGGCTCTGATCATAATCTTGTTTGTTTTTAAGTGCTTGCAGATCCACTGTTTGACAATCTTATGTAGGATTTTCTGGCGGTATTAATCTTAAACTGAACAGGGTCTTGATGACTACAAAGCAGTATTATGAGTCACAAAAACTGTATGGATGGCCATATGTGACACATGGACTGTTTCATTAACATCAATTGTAAAAATGAGATACTTGATTTACAAACTTGTACAGCTCAGAGTGAGAAACATCTAGTTATAATGTCCAAATTAGGAACTGAAAACATCCTATATGCAAAAATGCCTACCATTTAGCTCATTTTTCTCCCCTTTGGCAATGAAACATGTCTATTTCCTTTTATATTTTTATTTTTCATGCCTTGTTACAATAACGTATCATAATTGCGCCATTTGAAAATGAAAGGCTCTCAGCCACCAATTAAAGATTGTCCTTGCGGGTTTTAACAATGAGGTTGCATTAAAATTGTAATTGTTTGATCCAATAAGGCCTCCTTTAATGCAAAGGAACACACAGCAGTAATTATTTCCAATTTGAAATAGAATAAATTCATACATTACCATCTTCCATGGTTCTTCCATAAGTGGCTCCAAAGCTATTCAGAGCCATGAAACTGAGAAACAACTGAAATCTCCCCAGAGAAGCCAGCTGGATTAGTAGCTGCATTTTCTTACGATAGTGATGATTGGGTAATGTTTTCCATAATACTAGAGCAATATAATTTATGTACGCATGACCTAATTTAACATAGAGAGCTTTGTCTTCTAACACAAGGAAATCACTTAAAACTTCATACGGGATAGCCAACAGATTGCCAGGATTTTCTCTAGCAGTTGATTTACATTATATAATGGAAGGATTTAGCTCTGTTTTCAGCAAAGTATATTGGAAAGAATCTTGCCACCCAATGATGTCACAAGCATCTCTTGTGACCTAGCCTATTGGGGTTGCTCTTCTTCATTCATCCTTCCCATGCTATTTTCTCTTTTCCCTCCAATATGTCTGAACAAAGATGCCACCTGGCAAGCAGAATAAAGTAGAGATTGAAAGAGTTTGAGGCCTTACCTTTATCTGCATACCTTCTAATGGTTCCTCCATTAAAACAAGTCTGTGCCCAACGACTCCACCAAGAAAATGAGGTGGCATCCAGCCATTCTTGTTCTCCTTCTTATTTGTGGTGAGTTAGAACAGGGGTCCCCAACCATTGGTCCGTGGACCCGTACCGGGCCGTGGCATGCCTGCAACCAGTCCGCACAAATAAGCAAAGCCCCATCTGTGGGATGCAGGCAGCACACAAAACCACGCAGTCTCCAATCTATGGAAAAAACTTTCTCCACCGAACCAGTCCCTGGTGCCCAAAAGGTTGGGGACCTCTGAATTAGAACATTTGTGTACCCTTTTCCTTACTTTGTTCTCTTTTTTCAGAGGAACTTCAATTTCATTCAAGGCCAATGTGTTGACTTTTTTACTATCTTATCTATGGAAAGCTCTGCTCCCATGATTAGCCAAGACAAGAGAAATCTCCTTTTCTCTTCAGGAATTATACAAAAAGATGTCCTTGGAAAGTCAAAAATGTTAATTTGTACTATATGTATGCAATCAAGGAAACAAAGAAAAACATGCACTGAAAGCTACCTACACAGCTCAGCATTCTATGAATCTTGGGTAACATATTCCTTGCAGGAAGATTAGAGAGGAGGCAAATGTTTTAACCTCAGTTCTGGCAGAATCAATGGAGAGAGTTTCCTGGTTTAAACTAGGCTGCATTTATTGGTCTTTGAGGCTGGGTTTTGTGTGTGTTTCTATGCTCTGTGTTCCTGTATTATTACTGCCATATTAAAACATTTTATCTGGTGATAAAGGAAAAGCTCTCAATTACAATAAGCATTATATATATATAATGAAGAGAGTATGAAGAGGGAAAAGGAAAACAAAATCAGGTACCAATCCTTCAAATTACCCAATCTTTATTATAACAAACGATGAGGTATACTAGAAAAGAAACAAGGTAAAACTGGTCTTTTGGCACTCTGGATGCAACAGCTCAGTGAATGGGGAAGGAGAGGAATAGTCAAATGGATACAGGTAGTCCTCGACTTACAACATTTCATTTAGTATCTGCTCAAAGTTACAACAGCACTGAAAAAAGTGACTGATGACCGTTTTTCACATGACCATTGCAACATCCCCATGGGTCATGTGATCAAAATTCAGGTGCTTGGCAACTGTTATGTATTTATGACAGTTGCAGTGTCCTGGAGTTATGTGACCCCTTTTTGTGGTCTTCTGACAGGCAAAATCAACGAGAAAGCTAGATTCACTTTACAACAGTATTGCTAACTAGTAACTGAGGTGATTCACTTAACAACTATGGCAAGAAAGATCATAAAATGGGGCAAAACTTACAACTATCTCATTTAGCAACAAAAATTTGGGGCTCAACTGTGGTCATAAGTCGAGGACTACCTGCCTACCTTCCCTGTTTCTTTGCTTTCTGAAATGAATGTTGTTCTTACACTCCTACAATCTGGAGAGACTTATTTCCAAGCAAGTGTTAATCTTTTGCAGTAGGCGAAATCAAGAGGAACAGTAGTGAATTTAGCAATGGTCTTCTAAGTTGTAGGATGTTATAACGGAATCAGTTTGTTGCTTCTTCTTCTTCTTCTTGTACCATATCTGTTATCGGACATTGGTAATCATGTTGGCAATCCTGTTTTTATCAGCAGCCGCATGAAAAAGTACTGCTGAGTTTTGTCCAAATCAGTCCCTTAGATTTTGAAGCCATGATGTTCTTCTTCTGCCTGGACCTCGTTTGCCTTCAATCTTTCCCTGAAGGATTAAATGGAGTATGCCATATTTTTCTTGCTACCACATCTTAAATTAAACCAAATCAAGGCAGGGTTATTCTGATTTTATTTCTCATGCTTTTTTCTTTCCCATTCAGAAAACAAATGAAATTTAATGGTTCATTCATCCCATTTCCAGGGCCAGAGTTATGTTTCAGCACATTATGCAGAGACAAGATAGATTTCTTGGCAGCTAAGCACAATTGATAAATAACCAACCTAAAACCCATGTAGAACAATGTCTCTTTCCTTGCAATGTATATGCCTTTTTGGAAACGGTCACAGTTTGCATTCTTGTTCTTGTTTCTTTTACGCAGCACTCTCGAAATGGCTTCTTGCCACAGACATACAGATACAAGATCCATCGCTAGCTGGCATGCCACTCTCAGATGCCGAATACAACCATTTCTTCAAAACGCTGAACAGTCCACGTCGAGTCAGCGCAGTTTGCTTCTTGAGATCCATGTATGGCTGCCAGAATGCTTTGGTCCAGACTTTAGACCTGTACGAAAATCATGGAATCGTCCCAGAAGGTAAAGTCTATCACAGTACTTGCAATTACAGAATTGCTCTTACTCCTCTTTTCAACTTAATTAAAGCTCAATTTGGAAAGCCATACTTAGATGTGTGCAAACCTGTGGCTCTCTTACAAGGCAATTAAAATAATTTTTGCCAAACCCATTTGGTAGATTCTTTTTGCTATTATTCTCATTGATATATAGTAAGTAAGATAAAAGGTAGTTTCCAATCCCTGTTCAAGGCAACCCATATATGTTCATGTGTTTCTTCTCAGAACTGATTTACTGAATATAATCTCAGTCCCTAAATTATTTATATAAAGGTCTCTGTCCCTCTCTCTCTCTCTTTCTCTCTCCCTCTCTCTCTCTCTCTCTCTCTCTCTCTCTCTTTCTCTCTCTCTCTCTCTCTCTCTTCATTCATTTATTCATATTGTTTGGCACTGAAGATAAGAAAATGCAAATTACATGGTGTCCTCAATTTACAACCTTTCATTTAAAGTTACAACAACCTTTAAAGTTACAACAACGGTTAAAGTTACAACAACCTTTAAAGTTACAACAACACTGAAAAAAGTGACTTATAACCAGTCCTCATTCTGGTCTAGGCCTCACCTAAACAAAAGTAGAGAGAACTCTGAGAGACCAAACTGATCTGAAAAAAAAAACCCCTCTACTGTGTTTGTAAAGAAATCAAATGTTATAAAGTGCCAAGAACTTCCAAAGGCTTCTTTCCAAAAGATCTGGATAATTGCTCCTCCAACACCATTTTTCACAATTCGAAGTAGCCAGTGGCAGATGCTGAAGTGGAATTGCTGCAATGCTTGGTAACCCATTTGGTGGGAAACCAAAGCCCACTCCTTTGAATTCTCAAAATCTGGCAGAGACTATAATGGTACAACAGTGATTATAGCAACTCCATGGGATATACTGGATCTCAGTGAAAATGAATGGAAGTAACCCGAAGGGCCTTGGTGCTTTTTCTCTAACTCTCAACTTCTCTCCTAGGGAGGGTATGTTCTGACCTGGCAGAAATGCCCAGCTTTCCTGATTTCTGCACCCTCACTTTTTATCGCTGCACCTTGAAGAAGTATTTTGTGAAGGTAAGAAAAAGGAAGAAGCCGTTGTTGATTGGTCTGAGGCGTTTTTTTTCCAGTGATCTGGAAAGACAGCGCTTTTAGCGTCAGAATGGGCTGAAAGGTTTGCTGAAGGCAAAAGATAACCATAAGAACCAGCACAGGAATAGCAATAGAAAAGGGAATGGAAGCAGCTAGGTCTAATTGAGAATATTTGCAAATATGATTTTCATTGCATTGTATTTACTTTATTTTCAAGAGGATCAGGCTAATTATGTAAGTGAGTAGAGTTATTTAAATTGAGACCTCAGCCATCTGTATCCAGCACTCCAACTCCTCCTTTGGCTGCATAGCATAAGCAGCAAGATTCCCTCCACTTGTCACTCATGTTTCAATATCACTGTCCTACACCTGTCTAGTCTATCTTTTGTGGCCATGACAATGCAATCTAACACTCTTTATGGCAGGAGCTGAAAGTTCTCACCACCCCACTTCACCAAAATGCTCCAAGTATTCCACATTTTAATATAGCACCAGGGTTCCGTCTACCCTGAATAAAGAATTAGATTATCATTATAATTATATATTATTTTTATATATTATAATATTATAACAGGAATATAGAATATTGTTTCATTCATATCTCTTTACTCTGATTCAACATCGTTTACTAAACTTGGACCATTTTCAGCTTTGTGAGGTAGTCCAGACAAGAAGCACACCTAAATAAACTATTTCTGCTTTAGTGTAAGGTTACTTTAGAAGAATGTTGCGAGTGTGAATGTGCATTTCTCCCTTATCATCTTTACAGCCCAAGAAACTAGGGAGGGATCCTCCTGCATTCTTGTTGAGGATTACCTGTCTTTTATCCAGTTATTCCCCTGGCTATGGCTCTCCTTCTTTCTCCCTTCATTTCCACATACCATCACAGTCTATCTAAATGGATTCCACTTCACAGAATTCTCAGCCCTGACCATTCTTTAATCGAAAACTATATATCTGGAGGGTACCCACTGCCTTTTCCGCCCTCCACATGAGTAGGGAGGGCAGCATGGTGACTCAGCAGTTAAGATGCTGGGCTTGTTGGCTGGTAAACTGGCAACCCACGTTTGAGACCTGAGCGCCACATGATAGAATGAGCTCCTGTCCTCACCCCAGCTCCTGCCAACCTGGCAGTTCGAAAGCATGCAAATGTGAATAGATAAATAGGTATCACTTCAGTGGGAAGGTGATAGCATTCCATGATGTCATGCTGGTCACATGACCGAAGAAATGTTTTCAGACAGCACTGGCTCAGTGGCCTTGGAACAGAGATGAGCATCGCCCCCTGTGCCTCATTTTACTCTGCAGAGTAAAATCTGCAGAGATTACTTTATATGAATAGGGAACCTTATGTTTTAGAATTCTGGACCAGCATCATCACTGGCCATTGTACTCTCTCTTCCTTGGAATGACCGGTGTGGAGAAGCTGAATCTAGGTCCTCCTGAAAAATGTCAGAAACCAGATATAACTTTAAGCAGGGCTTTTTTTTCTCATAGAATGCCCAGAACAGAGTTCTGGCACCTTTTTTGGATGGAACCTTGTAGGGTAGGCAAGGCGGGTTATATGACGTGTGTGAGTTCCGGCATCTTTTTTTTTTATAGAAAAAAAGCATTGACTTTAAGCATATAGAATATAAGCTGTACAGCATTGTTTCCTCATGGCATCATCACATTTGCAGTCAGGAGGAGATGCCAGTTTCTGCATCACTGGCTTCCAAGGTGATTCTGCCCATGCTAGGCATAAGCATCACTTTCTGCTCATGGGGAACGAATCCAAGTCCCCATTTATTACCAAGGGCAAAGCAGCTTTACGAACGACAAGGGTTTAAGGAAATCTATTTTTTTCCTGAGAGAGAAGGGAAGAACTAAGAGAAGGACGGACAAGCGAAGGGTCAGGTCAGCCATATCATTAAGTGAAGCAAGATAGCAATTTGCCCTGAGGATACGTCTTGGGATGCCATTAAGGAGAATGCTAGAGGTGAAATTGTTTATGGCATTTACCTTGGCATCAATTTCAGAAAAATTAGTAGCAGCTTTCCTTAATCCGTTATGATCTTACACAGGTGTGTTTGCCATCCGCACATACACATCTACCAGCTGTCGGATATCTGCAATTTGCATTGGAAGGAAAGCTTTTATGGGCACTAATAGAAATTTTCCTCTTGAGAAATGTTAGTTTCTTCTTTCAAATATTATATTGCACAAAGACTAATTTGATTCCAAAAGCAGAAAAGAAAAAAGAAAAAAAAGGTCAATAGAAAGTACTACAAGCTCCAACCTGTCTTGGTCATCTCCTTAGGGACTATTCCACATTTTATCCTTGGCAGAAGTCCTCTGTTTTGCAAAGCTGTGTAATTCAGTCAAGAAAGTATCCGCCACTGGTTCCTTGTGTGACATAAATGGTACCCTGTGAGTACCTGCCTTTTAGTTGTTATAGGAAACAGGTGGGGACCTGAATCACTTAATTGTTTGCTTCATGAGTGGAGGAAGGGAAATGCTTTTTATTAAAAGGGAGTGAAAAAAATAGCACAATCAGAAGCACTTGACATTTCTGGGCAAAGTACTTTGAAAACCCTCTAGAGATGTCACAGCATAGTCTTCTCTCATGCAGAAGAAAATGAGAAAAATCATAGCCACCTAAAGGTGTGACTTCTGCTTTGCATTATTTCTCCCATGTAGCGGATTCAGTGTCCAGATGAGATCAGTGAAACATCTTCAACAACACAAAACACCAATCAAGAACCTGGAAATACTGAATCACCATCTATCCTAGAAGAGACGCCGCTTACCACCACAACATTTCCTACACTTCTCACTTCTGCATCACACACTCCCACAGCAGCAACAGGAGCCATCACAACCATTTCCGACACTGAAACCGTTCCTGAACTTCCCAATATTATTTCTGATCTTACTTCCACAAACCCTTTGTTTGATCTGCCCACCTCTTCCAGTCCTGTCACAACTGACTCGGAATCCTTGCTTGAGCTTCTCACCAGCCTTGATGCGGTGATAGCCGAGCAAAGTTTTCCTGAATTATTTACCACCACTCTTAACACAGAGGTAGATTTTTCTCAGCACCTTATGTCTGATATATCTTCTCCAACCCCTGCTCCTACTCTTCTTTCCACTTCCAATGCTATGACAGCTACTCCAGTTACTTCTGTATCAACTGTCACTGAACCCTCATCTGAGCCTACCCCCACTGAAGCCACTACACCAGTGGGTTCTGTTTCTACAAATCCTGTCATTACTATTGCCTCAGCCGGTAGCCCAACTTCGGCATCGCCCACTCCCGTTGTCATTGTCACTGCCACTGAAGCCACTACACCATCAGTGGGTTCTGTTTCCACAAATCCTGCCACTACTGTTACCTCAGCCAATAGCCCAACTTCAGCATCTCCTAGTCCCACTGCCACTGAAGCCACTACCACTGAAGCCACTACACCATCAGTGGGTTCTGTTCCCACAAATCCTGCCACTACTGTTGCCTCAACCAGTAGTCCAACTTCAGCATCGCCTAGTCCCGTTGCCACTGGCACTGCCACATCTACATCTCCCTGTTCTTCCTCCCCTTCTCCCTCTTCTCCTACTGCTTCCAAAACGTCTGTGTTATTGACCAAGCCCATCATCCCTAAAAGTCCTGCTCATTTATTGCCTCCTGCCAGAGTTGCTGAATGGCCTATTGTCCCAATCTCTGCTGTTCTTGGACAGTATCCCTTGCAGCCTACTGTCATGCAGCTTCTTCTCCTTCCTCCTGGCTTTGGTCCTAGGAAGTCAAAACCTCAAGCAATTGCCATCTCTTCTCTGCTTCCGTTTGGAGCAAGGCCTGCTAATATTTGGCCAAAGAAAACAATGCCTAAACCCCAAATGAACTTACCAACTACTGCAAAATGGGAGAAATTCTTCTTACAAACAAAGCTGCCAACTGTTGCAAAATTGGAGAAGTCTTTACAAATGAACTCGCCAACTGCTGCACAATGGGGGAACTTCTTATCACGGCTGCGGGATAAGAGAGTGCAACAGCTGATGCAGAAAATGCGAGAGTTGATGGCTAAAGGGAAAGGTGTAACGAAACAGCTGTTGCAGTCCACCTCTCTGCAACTGCTCGCTGCCCTGAAAAATGCCAAACAAAACTCTGTGGTTTCATTAGTACCCAAGAAGCAACTTCAAAGATGACAGCCACATAAGCCGATCACCTCTTTTGTACGCTAAGCAGGATGCTAATGGGCGGATGTCTTGCAGCACCATTACATGAGGCCCTTCAGTATACTTGCTTGTGGTTTACCTGATTCCATTCCTGAATTCTTTCTAAGATGTTCCCTATCCCTTTGAGATGACGGGATCAAAGCAGAAAGGCTTTCCTCTGCAGATTTGAAGGACTGAGGGACTTGGAATTCTTTGAAACTGCACTAAGGAGGGTGCTTCCAGACCCCTCTTTAATCTCTGTTAAAATGAAGAATCTCATTGTTAACTGGGCTTCCTTTAATTGAAAGGCCTCTCTGATTTCTGAACGGAGGAGGATAGATTATTTATTCTTAATTTCAGTTTGAGATTGGACATTAAAGAAACGTTTTGCAGAACTGAGCGCAGTTAGTTCGGAAATTCTGCCTCCCCCCACCACCAAAGAGGTTGTCTCCAAGTATAGTCATTGACTTAATGACCACAAGTGGAATGGGAATTTATGTTGCTAAGCAAGGCTGTCATTAAGTGAGTCAGGCTCGATTTTATGACCTTTCATGCCATGGACATTAAGTAAACCACAGCAGTCATTAAGTAAATCATGTGTTTGTTAAGTGAATCCATCTTTTCCCATTGACTTTATTTGTTGGAAGCCTCCTTGGAAGGTCGTAAATGATGATCTTGTGGCCCCAGGAAGCTTTAATTATGATACATACATACCAGTTGCCAAACCTCTGGATTTTGTTCACATGAATGCGGGGATATTGTGATGGTCATAAGTATGAAGACTGGTCATAAGATCTTTTTTTCAGTGTTGTCATAACTTTGAATGATCGTTAAATGAATGGTCTTAAGGACTATCTGTAGTTTATTTTTCCTTGCGGGAGTCTTTGGAAAACTTTATTTCCCGTGACCCTCTTCACCTAAGCCAAACTGGAAGGACCACAGAGACCAGGAAGTGGAAAAAACCCTTCCATTTTTCTGCCGTCAACCAATCATCGTGGTTGCTGCTCCTGCATGTCTGTCATTTGAAGGGAAGGAGGTGGTCAGAAAACATTTGGAGTCTGGAAAGAATAGCAAAGACATGCAATCTTTGGGTCATTTCACTGAAGTTGTATGGTCTGTTTGGCATGAATACGCACAGCGCAACTACTTCTCAATGTAGTATTGACACTCATGCCAAATGCTGTTCAGTTGATAAAGATCATATAAGCTGGGATTTTAAACATTCATGAAGGAGCATGTTGGCTCTATCAGAGGATCTCTGTATACACATTTACGGGGAGAGAGAGAGAGAGAGAGAGAGAGAGAGAGAGAGAGAGAGAGCGAGTTGGGCATATGGGCATATGCCAAATGAATGAGTGGGAAATGAACTGCCAGACATTGCACCAGCCTTTCCTAAGACAGATTCTTAAGCAAAGCAGTTCTCTGAAAAATGTTTAAGTTACTTGCATCAGATCCATTTTTATTAGCAATAGTGATAGCACTTAGACTTGCTTTGCAGCCCTCTCTAAACAGTTTACAGAGTCAGCATCTTGCCCCCAACAATCTGGATTCTCATTTTACCAACCTCGGAAGGATGGAAGGCTGAATCAACCTTGAGCGGGTCAGGATCAAATTGCTGGCAGTAAGCAGAATTAGCCTGTAATACTGCATTCTAACCACTGCACCACCACGGCTCTACCTATATGTTTGGGGGGAAAGTTATAATACCTCTCAAAGCAGACCTCTTGACCGCAATGTATTTATTATATACATTTCTACATTAAGCAAAATAAATTAGGGCAGTTATCAAGGTTAGAAAGGTATTGTGTATTGTGTTAGCAATGGAAATTCTGGTCCCTATTGTCAGAGAATATACTATTCTCCAGGATGCAAAGCATCCAGAAAGACTGGGATTGCCTGATTTAAAACTCCATTTTGTAGCCATCTTTTTGGTCTGGATGAAAGAGTGGATACTACTGAGAAACAAAAGTATTTTAGAATTAGAAAAGCACAAACTGAGTTTTGGATGGCATGGTTTTCTATAGTTAAAGTTAAAATTAATATAGATTTAAAAATCATGTCAGAAATGCCTTATTGAGAATAAGCAATAGATATAAATCCAGATGTTGCCTGCTGATACAAAGCACATAAGCAGGTTACCCTAAGCTTCTCATTGCATACAAATATATACAGATACAACATGAGGGGAAAGCAGAAACACATAGACGTTATTTTCTTGCACAGAAGAAAATATAAATACTTTCTTCAGTAAAGAGTTTCAAAAATTCAAGAATCCATGTTCTACATGCGTTCTCTGATTCTTTAATATTAGAATATTTTTAATACACAAGTATTAGGAAACATGCTAGAAGCAGATGTATCTAACATTGAGAGGATTTCAGAAAACATATATGTTTCTACTTAAAGATATGCAGACCTGGGCATTATGCCTTCAACAGCATGATTGCGTTTAGCTTCTTCAGAGCTGATTCCAAGAAAATGCATGAAGATTTTGCAATTAGCAATTAGCCCTTCTGAAGCATAATATGTATTACAGTTGTTGTTTTTAATTCATTTTTCACAAATTTCCAATAATCACTGTTGAAATCCAATTTTTATAAACAGAGATTTGCGTGTAGACTATTGGAGACTCTGGTTCACAATGATCACTACCCCAGCTTACAAGACCAATAAGCTTATAGCGTCCATCAATCTTGCATATAAGAGGTCCTCCCAAGTCTTGCTGTAAACAGAAGGAGGGACAGAATGAATAGGATGCAAAATAATAAGAATTTTCAGCCACAATACATAGCTTAAAATCAATCCATAATTCTATAGGTTATAGAGCAGTGGTGGCGAACCTATGGCACGGGTGTCAGAGGCGGCACTCGGAGGACTCTCTGTGGGTACACGTGCCATTGCCCCAGCCTTGCCGCCGCCCGTGACCTCCTCCTCATCAGCAGTCCCCCTGGAGGAGAGTTGCCCCCAAGCGTGGCCCACGTGGAGCAGCGCAGCCAAGGACATGGCAGCCAGGTAGCGTAGACAAGACTCTGCCCTCACGCCCCAATGCACACAGTTGATGCTGCGGGGCGCGGGCAGAGGGCGTGGCTGCCATGGCGCTGCTGGGCTGCCTGGCGATCTGCAGCAAGCCCTGGAGGCGGTGAGTGGTCTTGCAGGCAGGCAGGGTGGGGCGGAGTGGGGATGGGGCAGAGCAGGGCAGGGGGTGGGCAGGGGGTGGGGCAGTTTGGGAGCACTCGGTCTCTAAAAGGTTCGCCATCACTGTTGTAGAGTATCTATGGCCAAGAAATGCAACAATCAATGATAACCTCCAGATATTTTAACTGCAGCTTTCTTTACTGCTGCTGATAGTTGGCATCCAAAATATCTGGAAGGCAACAGATTGTTTATTTCTGATTTATGGCTTCATATTTTCAACACCCATACTGCTGAGTATCTGAAGTCCTTATAACATTTGGGGACAATGATTCAAAATAAGTAGGACCGTATCATATCCATAGGCAAAGCTTATTTTGTTTGCTTCTGGAGAAACATATTCTGTATGCTTCCTTCTTTAAAATGGCAGGGAATTGCTCCACTGATTCTCTACAGCTCCAATGCTGATTTGTGGAAATGCAGCCAGAAAGCTTTCTGGTGTCAAATATAGCCGTGGGATCACATTGCCCATCTATTTTATGGATAATCTTACTGATGACATTAGAAATTTCAGTATGATCAAAGCCTTTTCAGTTAACTGGTCCCAAATGCAAGATTACACTTCTCCTATTTAATGACAATATTCCACGCCCGTTACGTACATCACATGAAGTTGTCCCTGTAGCACTTCCACATATATTAGTGTTTTTAATGTCTTCACTCCAGTATCTGGCACAGGCATCATTTGTGAGGAGTGATATTTGTGTTTGTTGCAGTCTTCTGGAGAACCAACCCTCTAGATGGAAAACAAGCAATCAGACAAATATTATTTGATACATGCAACTGTGGAAAAAGACTTATTAAGTTATGTTTATCAAATAGTTCCCTACAGCCCAGGTATGACTTTCTGCCAATGAAAATAAGAATATGAGTCACCAAGCAAAAAATATTGCAAATGCATGTTCAAAGAAAACAATCCTTACAGAAGGCTTAGATGCACATATTTCTATAAACACTCTTCTCAAGCTTTTTCTGAGATTATTTAGGAGTGTGGGGGAGGGTTCCCTCATTTTTCCTACTGAGAACTTATTCCCCTAGGAGAACTTGTTCAGAACAGTAGATGGAATTTAAAAAGGAGTAGATGGATAGCTATCCTTTCTTCTTTCCTCTCTGACCTCCTCTTTTTCTCTCTGTAATTTAACTCTCTACCGAATAACAAGTTACAGGGAAAAAAGATCTTTTCCTCGCTGATGGCCTGAAATGATCCCTTACACAACCCTTGGTTTTTGGTGTGCAGACTTCACATACCATTGCTTATAGCCTCAAAACGAGATCTATAATGCTCAAAGTGTTCCAGAAGATGTAGTAGAAAATGTAAGCTTTTCTTAAGGGACAAAAGAACTTAAACAAAGCGCTAACCCACCTGGAACCTAGCTAGCTCTCTGGAGAAAGCTCTAATGCTAGGGAAAATGAAAGAGAAGAAGAAGAAGATGGGCTCAATTATAGTGGAAATGGGGACACCACTGGAAGAGCTAAAGGACCAAGATAGGGTCAGATCAGAGGGGACACAGTGGCGCAAAGGCTTAATAATTCTGGAACTGCTGGCCAGATATGGTCTGCACTCCAGTGATTTGAGCCTGGTTTCGTAAGACAGAGTCAATTGATCCCTAACTCCTGCCCACCCAGCAGTTCAAAAGCGGGCAATATTGCAAGAAGATAAATGGGTACCACTTTGGTGGGAAAAAAAAACCCTAGTTGCCTTTGTGTGTGTGGAGAGTGGAAGCTGATGCTGGACATGGCCAGAAATGAGGCTTCATGACATGAGGCAAGGTGAAACCAGTGGAGGAGCTTGGAAGAGCTAGCAACCCAAGCACCTCTAGCTAATTGGTGTAAAGCTAGGTCGCTCTCCGCTGTGCACCAAGGATAGGTGCAAAAGCGCTGAATGGAATAAACTAGCAACCTAAGCTGTCAGAGCTACATTGTGTCTAGCATGTATGGATTTCCCTGACATTGTATGCTATATGCTGAATAAATAAGGGTCAGATCATCATGGAGAACATATACTATAGGAAATAACCACATGGAGCCTGAAGGTGGTGTCAAATGCTTCATCAGTTTGGAATCACTACACTTCCACAAGAGAGCTACGTCCCGCCCTCCGTGAATCCTGTTCACTCTTATCTAATGCCAATTTGCCTTGGCCCTTAGTACAGAGGTCACCAACCTTTTCATGCTGGCGGCCTGGAGGGAAAGGGAACAGCTGGGCAATTTGCGTGCACGTGCACAAACAGAGCCATGCACGAATGGGGCTGAGTGCACCTGCATGGGGCTAGCGGCCCATTTTTGCATAGGAATGCAGGAACTAGCTGCCGTCGCTAGCAACCACATGCATGCGCAAATGGGCTGTGCAACATGCTAGCAGCCCCATTTGCGCAGGCGCTAGCTGCCACTGCTAGCCCCATGCGCAGGCACAAATGGATCCCCGGGCGCTAGTGCGAGTGGGGGTGAGTGTGTGCACACATATGCATGCACTGGCCAGCCTGTCCCATG